GAAAACCTGATTGATCATAGTCAATCAAGTCTCCTATACATCGATAAAATCTTAAGGCCATCAGCTTTGAATCTGTGGATAGAAGGCTAATTGGCCTGTAACTAGAGCATTCGAGTGAATCCTTCACTTTCTTCAGCAGCAAAGTTATTAAAGCTGTGGTTTGGTCCCTGTGTAAAGCCCCTTTTTCTAACGCAAAGTTAAGAGAGTTAAGAATCAAGGGTGCTATTATGTCCCATAATGTCTTCAGAATGTCTCGCAAAAATGAATTAAAACATCCAGAGATCATTGAATCAGACTTAGAGGCATGAGATCTATCTAACTGGGGATCCAACACCGCATTAAAATGAGACCACAAGACAGTCCTCTAAACTCACAACTAAATGTAATAATTCTTGAAAAAATTTGGAATCACCCTCACTGGGTGCATATACAGGCATATTTAGTATTATTTAGGGAAACAAACAGTGATTTGGCCTTCTGTTTCATTACCGGATCTTATAATTGAAAAACCAATATTACGCTTAGACACTATCAGCACCCCTTTAGTTTTGTTGACCACTGAAGAGGAAGAGATCACTTTAAAGTAAAATCACTTTATTTTGGAAGCGATGCACGTCTGCTGATTTCAAGTGAGACTGTTGTATAAGGTCAATAGAGACCTTTTTGCATCGTAGGTAATCTAAGCATTTGGTTCGCTTAATAAGGCTATTTAACCCATTAACGTTCCATTATAAAATATTTATAGCCATATATTAAAAAAGAAAAGCACTCCACATCAACCAGAACTAATGTGGGAGGACCATAAAGCAATCCCCCGGAAAGATAACTGTGATCAGAACACATGCATATACAAAGGCATCTAGGCAAACAAATATATAGGCCAGCACTAGACTGAATAACTTACGTGGGCAGTCCCGGGCATAGAACAAAAAAACAAGAACATTAACAAAATGGGCAGTAAGCAAAGAGTTAGAACACACTCTTCTACCTGCCCTCAAAGTCTTTGGATATGCGGCCAACCTAGCAGTCCGGCTTGTCCGTCAACATCTGACCCGGTAATTTTTCAGATGAAGAGACAATCAAATTTTCTTAGCAAGGTCCTTCATAGGAACTGCAGATTCATCCTCATTCACCTTGGATTCTCGAAACGTAACCGCTACAGCTTTCTTCAGAGAAAACTTTGTGGCGGGATCCAGATTGAGAGCAAACTTTTCAACCTCCGCCGGTGTCTCGAGAAGAGAAATCTTCCCTTGGTGAGTAACTTTCACTACCACGGGGTAGACCAAAAAGGATGATATCCCCAGCTGAGTTAGCTTCTTCCTCGCCGATGCCATCTCTCTCCTCTTAGACGCCGTGTGGGTACTGAGAAGAAAAGCAGCGGCGCTCCCATATGAAGAATTTGTCCAGCGGTTCAGGCTCCATTCAGGATTGCATTCCGGTCTGGATAACGCAGCATCTTGAAGATGAACGTACGAGGGGTTGATTTTGAACGTTCACCGCTATATATACGGTGGGCTCTTTCTATCTCCACTACTTTGCCAGCAAGAGAGGGAATCCATTTAGAAAGATGATTCTGTATAAATCCCAGAGGGTCATCTCCTTCTAACCCTTCTTTCAGCCCCACTAGACGGATATTGGACTGGTGGCTTTTGTCTTCGATTCTCGCCAACTTTTCCTGAAGGGAGTCCACTGCTAGCTTAACCTCCATGGTGTCTTTTTTTGCGTGACGAAGAGCTGTTTGCATTTTTATCAATATTATTTCTTATCAGACGAACATCCTTTTCCAGAACTCCAAGTCTATCCACAATCAGGGCGAATTCTTCTTTAAACAATTCTCTAATGAAGCTAAGGTGCATCTTAGCTTCTCAAAACAATTTTTTTTAGATTAGCCTATCCTGAGTGATTTATGTTATTGGGTATTGCTTTTTCTTTGTATTATTGTTTGTGTTGTATTGTTTTTTTTGTGTGTTGTCCTGTTTTAATTATGTATTTTATTATTGTAAGGTGTCCTTGAGTGTCTTGAAAGGTGCCCATAAATAAAATGAATTATTATTATCTTTAACTCGTCGGCAACTATGGCGCAAATTCCCCCTCAGGATCATAATTATGGTTTTTAACTCGCTTTTTCTCCGGTGAAGCCAGTGTCAATTGACGTTTTGCCATCTTCATTTGTAGCTCCGTTAGAAAAACAGTCCAAAACTAACCAAATGTTGATAGTTTTCCTGAGAAAAAACTTAAGGATACCGAGTCAGGGAGCAATCGAACTACACCGCCAGTGCTAACGGTGGGTCACGTGATCTCGTTTACGGTTTAAAAAAAATAAATAAATAAATTGTAGCCTTGGTGAGCATAAGAGACTTTAAAAAAAAAAAATTTTTTTAAAAGGGGGTGGGGCTTGAAAATATTTTTCTCTACAAAAGGGGGGAGGCCCGACAGAAAAGGTTTGGGAACCACTGGCCTACTCAAACACGCAAACAGTGGAAAAACAGTGGCACAATAAAAAAAGGCTTTTCAGGTCTATGTCCAATCCCTCACTTTTTCTAGTTATATAAGGTTAAAATATTTTGCCTGTAATGTTTTTGTTTTCTCATATCGCAATATAATATCAATATCGCCTGGAAAGTGTAAAATATCGTGATATGAATTTTAGCTCATATCGCCCACCCCTAGTATCTGGCTCCCTCTCCTGAATGACCTCAAGCCACATGTACTGCCTCAGGGCATAGCTAATTCACCTTGAATGTAATCATATGATGGTGGGGTGGTGACTCTGGTAAACACACGTGGACTGTTGTGGCAGGTCTGATGACCAAAGTCTGTCTTTTGATGAGCATTTTAAGGGATAGTTTACCCAAAAATAGGAATTCTGTAATTTACTCAGTCACGTCATTCCAAACCTATATGCCTTTACTTTTTGCTGTGGAACACAAAAATCGTCATGCAACTTTCTGTAAGACAAGAACTCCTATTTAATTGTCTGCCATTCTATTCCTTAAACCATGCTATGACTTACAAAATGAGTCATGTGGAGTATTTTTTTGGAGGTTAGGGGGGAGTCACATGAAGTACTTTTATAGTGTGTGCTTTGTTTGTATGTGGGGTTTTTTTTAGATTTATTTTTGGCGTTTTTGCCTTTATTTTGATAGGACAGTAGAGTAATTACAAGAAGCAAAATGGGAGAGAGAGAGAGCGAGAGAGAGAGAGGGGGCGGGATCAGGAAAGGTCCACGAGCCGGGACTCGGTGCGCTGCACATAAAGCTATTGGCACCGACGTGTTAGTTTTTAAGGGGATTCTTTTTTTTTTTTTAGAGCTTGAGAGCTTGCGGCCATAATTTATTGTTGTTCAGAAAAAAAAATAATCATATGGAGTACGTTTATGGTGTTTTTGTTTTGTGACTATAAACTGTAGTTAAAATTTGGAATGACATGAGTGAGTAAATAATGACAGAATGATCATTTTTGAATGGCCTAATCCTTTAATATGAAATAAGGCCTGCCTTGGTCAGATTTTAACTCTAGAATACTCCCAGTAAACCCTTCTCTCATACAGTATCTCACAGAAGTGAGTACACCCCTCACATTTTTGTAAATATTTTATTATATCTTTTCATGTGACAACACTGAAGAAATTACACTTTGCTACAATGTAAAGTAGTGAGTGTAAAGCTTGTATAACAGTGTAAATTTGCTGTCCCCTCAAAATAACTCAACACACAGCCATTAATGTCTAAACCGCTGGCCATAAAAGTGAGTACACCCCTAAGTGAAAATGTCCAAATTGGGCCCAATTAGCCATTTTCTCTCCCCGGTGTCATGTGACTCATTAGTGTTACAAGGTCTCAGGTGTGAATGGGGGAGCAGGTGTGTTAAATTTGGTGTTATCGCTCTCACTCTCTCATACTGGTCACTGGAAGTTCAACATGGCACCTCATGGCAAAGAACTCTCTGAGGATCTCAAAAAAAAGAATTGTTGCTCTACATAAAGATGGCGTAGGCTGTAAGAAGATTGTCAAGACCCTGAGAGCTGCAGCACGGTGGCCAAGACCATACAGCGGTTTAACAGGACAGGTTCCACTCAGAATAGGCCTCGCCATGGTCGACCAAAGAAGTTGAGTGCACGTGCTCAGCGTCATATCCAGAGGTTGTGTTTGGGAAATAGACGTATGAGTGCTGCCAGCATTGCTGCAGCGGTTGAAGGGGTGGGGGGTCAGCCTGTCAGTGCTCAGACCATACGCCGCACACTGCATCAAATTGGTCTGAATGGCTGCCATCCCAGAAGGAAGCCTCTTCTAAAGATGATGCACAAGAAAGCCCGCAAACAGTTTGCTGAAGACAAGCAGACTAAGGACATGGATTACTGGAACCATGTCCTGTGGTCTGATGAGACCAAGATAAACTTATTTGGTTCAGATGGTGTCAAGCGTGTGTCGCGGCAACCAGGTGAGGAGTACAAAGACAAGTGTGTCTTGCCTACAGTCAAGCATGGTGGTGGGAGTGTCATGGTCTGGGGCTGCATGAGTGCTGCCGGCACTGAGTAGCCACAGTTCATTGAGGGAACCATGAATGCCAACATGTACTGTGACATACTGAAGCAGAGCATGATCCCCTCCCTTCGGAGACTGGGCCACAGGGCAGTATTCCAACATAACGACCCCAAACGCACCTCCAAGACGACCACTGCCTTGCTAAAGAAGCTGATGGTAAAGCAGGTTCCTTGACTGTTTACAGTTCATAGTCCCTTGAAGTGATTAGATTTTCAATGCTCAGACAGCGAAAGCAAGCGTTTCAAGATTATCAAGATTCCTGACGCATATGATGAGGTCATAGGACACTGCAATTGTTCCAGGTACTTAGTCAGCTAGTGAAGTGACAGAATCATGTGTTGACATCCTAATCGAACCAGTCTGACGGGGAAAACCCACTCTGCACTTTAGGTTCTAAAGAATGGAAGCATAGTTTATGCTGATCACTTTTTATTCTTATTTTTGTGTTTACAACAGGCGTCTTTGCCAAATGGTCACTCAGTGCCGCCATTCCTTGGGTGAGTATATTTTTACAGAATTAATTACCAGTATTACTACAGTGCACTAGCATTTAACCCATTCTCTGCAATCACAATGCCTGTTTCCCTCATCAGGGGTGGGAATCCATTTGCCACGGTCAAACTACGGCCCACCATGACAAATGACAGATCTGCACCAAACATATGATGAGACTGCATGCCGCCCGTGCCCTTATGTGAAGTTGTGTCTCAGAGGTTTTGCCTATATTGATGCATTGCAGATATGGCAGAGGAACCAAATGAAAGGGTTCTGTTACATCATCAATTTTAATCCTTAAAGTTTCTAAAAATGAAAACCAGCAGATTAAAATTTACAGGAGGCATTATTTATAAGAATTTTAGACTTTGATTAAATTATTATTTTAAATTGTAACTGGATTCATACACTTGAGTTTCCAAGAGAATGCACAGCACCAAACAGGCTCTTGAATAGCTATTTTCTGACCATATTGGTCCTCTGTGTCTGGGGCCTTGTAAAGGTAAACCAAAATCACAAATGTATATTTTAAGGTTTGAGTACTGCAGCCCCTATTTAGAAACATGTCACATAACCAGATCATATTTCATTTCAAAATCCAGTGAAGTAGTGTGAGGTTTGCCAGTTGCCAACGTGTTCTGGGTTAGTATGGATTAAATTTAGCCTTTTTTTTTGTTATACAGTATCATAGTTTCATTGTTTTAAAACGCTGATGTATTCCTTATGCTTAACACCTTTTTCATGTTTAAAGGAGGACCATGTAAAGACACATAGTTGAATTGTTTATTCCTCATGTTAAAGATGAGTGCAATGTGTGGTGATAACATTCTTACTAGCTGCACAGTTGAATGTTGGCTTTTTTGGCTTTAGCTGGACATCAGATCAAACTCATGAGCATTCTTCACTATGTAAGAGAAATCCTTGGGTCCTAGCTAAATACAAGATTTTTTTTTTTTAATGAAGTCTTGTATGGTTGTGTACACGTTATGTCTTTGCAAGCATGTTATCATGTAGGGGAAACGGTGTATTCTTTATTTTTATTGATTCATTGCCCCTTTTCTTTTCATACCACATTACTCCGAAATAAAGATATATATGTCTATTTGAAATGTGTTGGATATTATTTGACCATTGTTCTGTTATATTTTCTCTGATAATACTATTCTCAGTAGTAGCTTAGTTGTCCTGTTCCTTGAAGAATAATGGTGAATAATTCTGTCCTGATTATGAATTTTTAATTTTCTAACAATTTATTTATCCCATACACTATAAAAATGCTGTACTGGCTAAACTGGTGCAGGTGAGTAAGAAATTTACTGTGTCCGTTGTAAAAAAATCTGAATCTGTCATTTCAGTCTGGGTTTGTATGAGGTGAGGGTATCCAGCAATACCAGCATGTTGTAAAACTAGATCAGATCATATAGCAGATAACTGATTTACCTCAGCACTTTTTCTTAAGTGCGACTAAAACCAGTGCAGCTATATTTGCGTTGGCTGTTTCTCTTAATCAGACCTTCACCTACAGAAAAATAGCCACACTTTGATGTTTTGTATTTTTCTCTTTTACCTCAAAACTTCACCAAAAAGGCATGAGAATGCAGTTAATATAATCACAATATAGCAGGAGTCTCTGACACCGATTTTATTAAGCAATCTATAGTCTTACGTCTAAAGATGCAGTACACGACAACAGAATGGTGCAACAAAAGTAATTATCCTATGGGTGGTGCTCAGTGCAAAAAAGTTTAGTAATGTTTTAAGACCTCCACACTTTTGAAAAAAAAGGACTGTTGCAAAATGCTTCGATTTTGGAATGTTTTTTTCTCTCTTTAATGTTTAAAATGTATTGTTATTTGAGGGTGTATTTATAGAGAGAGAGATGGAAAGAGAGATTTTAATAGTAATAATAATAATAACGTAACAGAAGTGCTAATAATATATATGCGTGTTAACATTAGAGGTTTAACGGAAAGAAAATATGAAGATGGGGTGTGTGTGGGGCACCATAGTAACAACCTCTACCATCACGTTATGTTTTAACCTTTATACAGTCTGATTTTAATGAGTTATTGGCGCCCCTTGACGGGCCGATAAGCTATTGCTGCCAATGCAGCAATCCTGTAACTTCCTGTTTGGGAGCTCTGTGTTGTCAATATCGTGCAATTCACAAGATTTCGCAAAGCCGAATGGTCTCAAAATGACAACATAAGTTAAGTGCTTACAACCTTGACACAGATAAGGTATGTAAGTAACGCTGGCTACAGTTGATATATTCTGTCATTTATAAGTTACTGAGGATGCATAAACTGCCATGATTTTTACCTTCCTGTTGTAATGGCCATGCACCTGTCACTGCGGAAGACAGGCAGCTGCAGTCATTCATTTCAAAATGTTTCTCTTCTGACTGTATCATAGTCGTATTCCAGTTTTTTGCAGATAACAAGCTATTGTCAAGTACTCTAACGTTACAGGCTTATTTCTTATGTGCTGTCATTGCTAGCTAGCGTGCTATCCGGCATTACCTGCATCAACACACAAGCGTTCAACAACAACAACATGCATTCTCAAAATATATATATGTTGCTTTAGTAACGTTTTGAACTTCAGTTATAAAAAATGTACAAAAAAAATACCACGGTATTACCATATTGTTTTTTATGTTTTTGTTTGTTTGTTTTTACATAAATGGTACGTTGCTCCCACTTTTAATTTTTACCATAGTATCTGCCATAGTAATTACTACTTACTTACTCAAACTATTAATATGATGGCATTTTGTGAAGTACCTTGCAGTGCTGCTATGTTGATAATAGTAATTAAAGGGGTCATATGATGTTGCTAAAAATAACATTATTTTGTGTATTTGGTGTAATGAAATGTGTTTATGCGGTTTAAGGTTAAAAAAACACATTATTTTCCACATAATGTACATTATTGTTTCTCCTCTATGCCCCGCCTTTCTGAAACGTCGATTTTAACAAAGCTCATCAGTCTGAAAAGCGAGGTGTGCTCTGATTGGCCAGCTATCCAGTGCGTTGTGATTGGCCGAATACCTCAAGTGTGTGACGGAAATGTTATCATAATTGTGATGCTCTGTCCTGCCAGAGCGGAAGACCAAACAAAGTAGTTTCGCTTTCACAACGAATCACACAGCGTCTCCATGACATGGCGGCAGCAACAATACTACAGTGAAAATAAAAGTTACGCCTTCTTTCTTTGCGTGAACATTTGGGCGGCGTTATGCAAATCTTCCCACATCCTGACGTAGACATGTGGGGGCGTGTTAGAACGAGCCGTTTTAGGTAAGCGTGGTTGATTCTTAACTTTTATAAAGAATATCTCTTTGGATTTGAGACTTTAGTCTTTGCAACTTTACAGATCTTCTTTATGCACCAAGTGCTTGTAACACTCCAAAGAGAAAGGAAAAATTTAAATCGCATCATATGACCCCTTTAAATATAGTAATCATTCAGTACCATGGCATTATAATCTCATACTGTAACATGCTTAAACATGGTACCACCACAGTAGTGTTTTGTAAGGGTAGTCTGTGATTTATTTGGAGCTTTTTGGTGTATTGCTGAGATCATGGGTTTCAGTTATAGCTTAGAAGGCAACAAAATAGCAGTTGTCAACAGGTCAGCACTGTTTTGGCAACATGAGAAACGGTAATGAGAATCAGCTGACTGCAGATCTGCTATCAAAGCAGAGAAAAGAGTAGACAGGAAATTCTGCTTCATTTGAGAGCAATTCACTTTGTGTCCTTGTATACTTCTAAACACTTTTTGTAGCCATAAACTGATGCTGAGGTGTTTGTTTATCTGCAGATCTCTGTGTTTTGTCTCTTACAGCAGGGTGCATCATGCCGAGCTCCCTCTTGTGGGCTGTTGATGTGTACGGGAGGGTTTATAGCCTTTCGACAACGGGACAGCAGTGGGAGCATTGTCGCGATGCCCACTTGGAGTTCAAGCGTGTTACGGCTATACAGCAGTGCTGCTGGAGCATTGCCTGTGACCACCAAATCTATCTGTACATCCATGCCAGTGATGTGCCCATCCGCTACCAAGAGGAGACATATGAAAACCAGGTGTGCTCAATAGTAATATACAGACTGTTATAAGTATTTGGAAAAAATCCAGCAAATCATTGTTATGGGGTTCAACCAACAAGCAGAAAAAATATATACAGGAAATTATATCAAAGAGAGGGCCCATGCAGACCATCATTACTGTGTGTTTGGGCTAATAAGTCTTTTAAATATCTGATAATTTGGCCTTTTCAGTTCAGGTTTTACAGTGTCATGTGGTGTTACTCCATAAAAACACAATAATATTAATGAATTAATAATTAATGATTTATCTATATGCTATTATTCAAAAGTTTGTAGTTTGGCATGTGCAAAAATTTTTAAATTATAAGAATGTAAAAATTAAGTCTATTATGCTTACAATTTGTTTGATCAAAATACAGTTATTTTTACATTTTAAAATAAGAGTTTTTAATTTGACTTTATTTCCTTTAAGAATGTATTCCTGTGATGGCAAAGCTGAATTTTCACCAGCAATTACTCCAGTCTTCAGTGCCACATTATCCTTCATAAATCAATCTAATATGCTAATATTTGGTGCTCAAGTAAAATTTCTTATACAGCTGTGCTGCCAAATAATTTTGTGGAAACTGATATATTCTTTTTTTTTTTCAGGATTCTTTGATGAAACCATTTATTTGAAATAGAAATATTTTGTACCATTATAAATGTCTTTACTGTCACTTTTGACCAATCTAATGTGTCCTTGCTTTAAAAAATTCTCCACATCACAAACTGTCAAACACATCTTACCAGCAAACATATACTTGCTCATGTCCTTCTCTCTGCTCTCAGAGGCAGAAAGTCTCCAAACTCATCCTTTCCAATCATCCTACTACTTGTCCGCTTGATCCTATTCCATCTCATCTCCTTCAAGCCATTTCTCCTTCAGTTGTACCTGCACTCACTCACATCATTAACACATCCCTTCAACACTGGGGTCTTTCCCTCAGCATTTAAACAAGGTCGGATAACCTCTTAATCATAAACAACCTCGGATCACTACTTAAAAAACCCACTCTTAACCCAGCACTTTTAGAAAACTACAAATCAATATCCCTTCTTACTTTCATTGTAAAAACACTTGAACGAGTTGGGTTCAACCAAGTCTCAGGCTTTCTCACGCAGAACAACCTTCTGGACAGCAACCAGTCTGGCTTCAGAATTGGACATTCAATCGAGACTGCCCTGCTCTTGGTTGCTGAAGCCTGGCAAGAGTGGCTTCCAAATCTTCAATACTTATCTTGCTGGATCTGTCCAGCACAGTGCTTTTGACACAGTTAACCACCAGATCCTCTTGTCAACCCTCATGGCAAAGGGCATCTCAGGAACTGCACTCCAGTGAATCGAGTCTTACCTCTCAGATAGGTCCTTCAAGGTATCTTGGAAGGGTGAGGTGTCCAAGTTACAACTTCTAGCTACTGGGGTGCCGCAGGGATCAGTTCTTGGACCATTTCTCTATCTACATGGCATCACTAGGTTCTGTCATTCAGAAACATGGCTTTTCATATCACTGCTATGGTGATGACACTCAACTCTACCTCTCATTTCATCCTAAATTTCACAGACCACATTGCTAAAACTGCCCAGTCCTGCAGATTCGCCTTGTGCAACATTAGGAAGACCAAGCCCTTTCTATCAGGACATGCTACACAACTCCTTGATCAAGCTCTTTTTTTTGTCCAGGCTGGATTATTGCAACGCTCTCTCAGCAGGTCTTCCAGCCACTTCTATCAAACCTCTGTAACTAATCAAGAGTGCGGCAGCAAAAGTAGTTTTTAACGAGCCGGAAAGAACTCATGTCACACCTCTGTTCATCAACTTGCACTGGCTACCAATAGCTGCTCGCATAAAATTCATGGCATTGATGTTTGCCTACAAAACAACCAATGGATCTGCACCATTTTACCTAAATTCACTACTTCTGACTTATGTGCCCTCCAGAAGCTTGCATTTTGCAAGTGAACGGTGCTTTGTAGTGTCATCCCAAAGAGGCACAAAATCACTTTCACAGACTTTTAC